TATACTTCTGCTGCAGTCCCTCAGGTGATGGAGTTCCCCTGAAGTCTTCTTACAGCTTGACAGGGCAGGGGGCCGGGGGGCGGGCATGAGGGAGCCTCTGCCTTTCTTGATTGTCCCTTTAAATAGTCATGGACTTTGGCCACTCCCCTGAGGTCCCAGGACTTGAAGGGTTAAGTACTCGCTTGCTGTGACTGGCTCATTATTCTCTCGAATCTCCCCCCTCCAATTACAGTTCTGGTAGTAAATCTATTTATGTTTTATGTATTCTGACAGAAGCACTTTGCATTCATTATAGAAAAACAACAAAACAAAAATTTAAAAATTGCCAACCTTGCCACCCAGAAATAAACCATTTTAATAAAAAGGGGAAAAATTTAAATTATAAGAATGCTATAACCTCCTGAATTTTTTGTGGGCTTGTGTGCGTGTGTGCGTGTGTGTGTGCGTGTGTGTGTGGTCTACATGTGGGCACATGATTGTGTGTGTTCAGGTACATTTATACATTCATGCACATGTAGCCAGAGGAGCATGTCAAGTATCTTCCTCTTGTTCTTTACCTTGATTTTGAATAAGAAAGGTCTCTCTTTGATCTTGGAGCTGGCTGGCCAGTGAGCTGCCCGATCCTCTGGCCTGCACCTCCCCAGCGCTGGGATCGCACGTACGAGCTTTTTACATCCATTCTAAATCTGAACTCAGCCTTCACAGCTGCACGAGAAGCACTTGGCCAATAGCGCCATCCTCTCAGCCCCTCTGAGGAAAATGTAAGCATAGAGAAGAAGGGAACCACGTCTAATCAGTCACCCGATGTGATTATTTGGAGACTTTTCTCCTCTGAACGTTGTACAGTTTATGCGCCATCCCTAACAACCGGCCCATGAAGCCACTGTTTCTGTGGGGAAGAAGACAACAGATGTGAAATGCAGAAGGACACCAGCAATTTCACAGAAACATCCTCTTTAGAAGTTTGCTGTAACTGGATACCTCATAGTCTCTAGTCAAGCATTCCATCCCTAGCAAGCTGGTTTTTCATTACTGTAACAAGTAACCAAGACAATGTTTACAAAGACCCAAGTTTACTCTGGCTCAGTTTTGAAGGTCTTAAGTATGCCCTCCTGCTCTGGGCTTGGAGTGGCACATCATGGCTGAAGCCCAAGGTGAAACAAAACTCCTCACCTCATGGCTAGGAAGTGGAAGAGAGGGAAGAGAAGGCCAGACTCCCACAATCCCCTTCATAGGCATGCTCTCAATGATCTAAAACCCTTCACTGGGCCCTGCCTTTTAAACATTCTAGGGATCAAACTTTTAACACATGGACCTTAAGTCCCAGACTATAATCTACATATCATCTGAGCAGTAGAGAGACTGGGGCAGGGGGATCGGGAGTTGGAAAGCAGCTTGGGTTGCACAGCAAGACCCTGTCTCAAAATAACAATGAATAACATAGTGTCTGATGATAAGATTGATCCAAGAAGCTTGCCTTTCTTCCTTAACATTTGCAATGGGAGACACAGAAATATACTTTAAGGACCTTTCTGGAGGGCTGGGGAGATGGCTCTATGAACTGAAGTCACTTCTGCTTAAGCCTGGCTACCTGAGTTCAATCCCAGGAACCCATGTAGAGATGGAAAGAAAAAAAAAAAACCAACTCTATTAAGTTGTCTGTCCTTGGACCTCTGCATGCAGGCAACGACATGTTCCCCAATGTTTAAAAAGATAAGGAGAGAAGGAATATATTTGATGGATGTGCAGTCAGGTGTGGGGGAAGGGGATGCCTCTGTGGGCCCATGCTGAAGCATTCCTTCTGCCTGAGGGGCCAGCCACACGAAGGTATAGTATAGAACAGAGTTTATTCAGGGCATGGGGAGGGGAGTGAAGAGGGTAGTAGAGGCAGAGAGAGAGAGAGAGAGAGAGAGAGAGAGAGAGAGAGAGAGAGAGAGTAGAGAAGTAGAGACTGGCCGTGAACATGTGGAGAGAGAGAGGGAGGGGAAATGGAAGATATGGGGATCGGGACAAGAGGACAGAGAGGGAGCAAGGGAGAGTGGAGAGGGCAAGCAGTCCCTTTTATAGTGAGTCAGGCATACCTGGCTATTGTCAGGCAACTGTGGGGTGGAGCTTAGACAAAATGCTAACTCCAAACAATGATAGTAATTATCATTGTATTATTATTATTACTTATTATATAAAGACAGAAAAAAAGGGGCTGGGGAGATGACTAAGTTGGCGACACCAGCTGGAGTGGCACATGTCTATAATCCCAGTGCAAGGAGGAGGTGATGAGGAGATCCCTGGCTCACTTACAGGCCAGAGTGACGGAGTTCACAAGCTCTAACTTCAGAGAGAGACCCTGTCTCAAAGGAAAGAGTGAAGAACCGAGGCACACACCAAATGCTGACCGCCAGCCTCAACCTCAACACACATGTACAACACATCCCGCAAGAAACCCCACATGTGCACACAAACCATACACACAGAAGGTTGCTGGAACACCTGAATTTATGAGGAATAGTTCCTGAATCTCATTTAAAAACCCACTGCAGGTCAGGTTTTTTTTTGTCCCACGTTACCTTAATTCATCCTTACATCAGTCTTGCAAGATAGACTAATCCTGTTTTACAGACAATGAAGCAAAGGTTCGCAAGTTATGAGAGGTTTGCCTAACGCCAGCCAGTTAATACACGGCAGACACAGGACTCGGAGCAGAGAGAAAAGTATGAAATTGACCTGGGCCCCACTGACCCACCACCCAAGTGTCCTGAGACCATGGATAAGCCATTTAGCATCCTATGAAGCATCTCTCCCTCAGCCAATGCTGACACAAGGAACGAAGTCCAGTATGTGTGGGGTGGGGTGGGGTGTTGATGACATGGTTAGGGCAGTTTCTTCATGAAGTCTGCAGGAAGCTCTCAGACTATCCCATTCCAAGGATAGAGAACACATGCTCCCAGTCAGATGGTTTCCTAACTGCAGACTTCCTTCCATATCCTGGAAAACTCAGAGTCAGGGTGAAGGCCGTGTTGTGGAAGACGGGCATTTAGGAAATGCCCTTCCAGCCGATTCCTAATGGCTCCTTTGTCTCCACGCTGCTCTTCTTTCCTCTTCTGGGTTCATGTTCTCGAATCTTCTGGGCTTCTACATTGCTTATACATGTTTCTTTTTTTTTTTTAAATTTAAGGATGTTTGTAAAGCACTTTAGCCCAATGCCTGGCATGTAATAGATTCTCAACAGAACATACATCCTTTGAATGCTCTTGAAGTGAGTTGTTGCCACGTTATTAAAAGGGGCATTATCTGTATTCCAAATTTGCAGTCTCAGATTTACACAAGTTCTTAGTACAAGGCACTTTCAGTAGTAAAACAATAAATACACTTAAAACAGGATTCCTTCCCCTCCTTCCTCATGGACCTTCCTTGCCAGGACTCTGCCACGCAAGCAATAGAGCCAATATGCCAATCTGTCCTCTCTAGCCACCCCATGTCAATACAGCTGCTCCTTGCGATATAAGTAAAGCCTTGGGGGAAAGACAGACTGAATTCTAAAAATAAGAAAATGCAAACCCTTCCTCTGTCTTTCTGTTAGAGGCTTAAGGTGAAATGGGCTTTTACTGACAGTACAGGATTTTTTTTTAAATCTATTTTTATCTTACTTTATGAGTGTGGGTATTTTGCTTGCCTGTATGTATAAGTACTACATGTTTGCCTGGTATGCATGTAGGCCAGAAGAGCGAGTTAAATATCCTGGGACTAAAGTTACTGATGCTTGTGATCTGCCACGTGGGCACTTGGAATTAAACTCAGTTCCTCTGGAAGAGTAGCCAGTGCTCTTAACCATGGAGCCATTTCTCCAGCCCCTATTTTATTTCATCTTAAAAATAGCGTCTGTCAACCAGTTCTCCAGCTTTCTGTGTACCCAAAAATCAACAGTGAGTCCTGTTCCCTACACCTTGTAAAACAGGGTTATTTCCGCTATCTTAACGTTTTAAAACGTATCAGAAATTAAGTTGTCTAACCAGTTTACTTCTAACAAGTTTTTGGATTTTTCTTATAAAAATTCTAACCATCATATAAAATGTTAGAGAACCTTTGTTGGGTCCTGTTACACACACACACACACACACACACACACACACACACACACACACAGAGAGAGAGAGAGAGAGAGAGAGAGAGAGAGAGAGAGAGAGAGAGAGAGAGAGAGAGAGAGAGAGACCCCAGTCCTTAGCACTTTCAGGTATCCAATTAAAAGGCAACAAATGAATTAGTAATGTGTTTGGGATAGGCCATAGTCCAGGTCACTGTCTACAATCTTTATGGAGAGCTAGCTAGACAGAGACCAGGGAGCTACTTAAGTTGCTTAAAGTAGTCTCTCGGCTCTATGACACCTATTGACTTGAGCATGGAAAGCTAATTTGCAGTGCTTGTCTGGGCCACACTCTGCCAGGCTTTGTATTCTTTGTCTTCCTCCCTTCCCATCTTTCCTGTTCACTTTCTCTCTCAAGCTTTGTTTTACTGAGTATATCTGGATAGGTCAGGCCCTGCCCTAAATGCCAGGTTGGGTAGACTGACACACCTAGCCTCATGAGATTTGCACTCTGATGTGGGGGAGAGGATTGGCATGGATCAGATCACATTCCTTCCAGAATGGGGGAATTGCAGACTGAAGTAGGTACCACAAGGACCCACAATGCACTGAAGGAACTCACCCAGTCTAGAGTTAGCAGACTTGGATTCATGGATGAAGACTGAGTGGATGGGTAGTTAAGGAAGAGGGAAGATTCTAGGTGGCAGATACAGAAGGGCAAAGGTTCTGTGCTGCCAGCGATTGTAATACTTGGAGAAAATATTTCTAGGACCAGGAGCTGCCAAGGATACTTCTGCCAAGGCCAGCAGAACCAGAGAATGCCTGGTAACAGTTCAGATTTTCAGTTTACAAGCAATGGGAAGCCACTTAGTGTTCTAGAGGCAAACTGATATCGAGAATGCAATCTTATCTGTCTCTGTAGGAGCAATGCAGTCATATACGTGGTCACTAACATACACAGTGACGACGGCTGCTGGGTCACCGGCTGAAAACTCCCAACAACTACCCTGTATGAGAAGCACCCACATGCCTTCTTCCTCAGTCACACACAGGATACCAGTCTACTCCCACAGAGAGGAGCATGGGTAAGTGACTCAGAAGGATTCAGATAGTAGTTTTTCCTCAGAGGACAGGAAGGGGCTGCCTTCTGGTTAGTCCGCATGCCTTCCTCCGTGCTATTATTGCATAGAACTGTCTTATGTAACCCCCAAATACACAGGTGCAGAGGGATGGAAGAAAGGGTGAATGGCTTGCAGTTTCCCAAGGTCACACAGTTGGCAAATTATAGACCGCCCCCCAACTGAGCATGCCATGATATGAAGCTGAAATCCGTCCCTCACTCCCTCCCAGCAGCAGCCTGTGTCGCTCTCTGTACATCTGGTAGCCTTATAAAGCTCCACAGTATGCCCTTGTCTCTTTGGACATTTTGAGGTGGTCCACTCCTCCTGTAGCCTGGAGGTCTCTGGAGGACTGCTCCCCAGTTCAGGGAGCCCCCTGTGGCTTCCAGGGGTGCTCCGTAACCTGGATCATTTATTTTGCCCATATTGTGTGCAAACCTGGGAGGTGATGCTGCTGTGATGACCAGCCTGCGCACCCAGCCAGCAGCGCTACACGGCCTTCAACAGCCCTTGGCATCATGCTCTGTCTCACAGGAGACACCAGCCTCACTGTGTTCAATGAGCGGTGACTTGAAGGAACTCCACTGGCACACAGTGTGGGGAGTCTCACCTGCAGCTTCTCACAGGCCTGCAGGCTAGCTAGAGAAGCCCCAAAGTATCCGGGGTGCAGAGGCATCTCAGAGAACTCCCACACAGGTGGTCCAGCAGAAGGTAGAAAGCTTGAACGTCTTCACAGGCTGGTACGTCAGTCTGTGCCCATAGTTCGGATCCCCAGGGATCTCCGTGGGGCAGCCGTTATTCCTAGAGACATTCCCTACATAATTATAATGCACTCTTAGGACTGTGATTCAGATAGCTTTGGAATGTACAAGAAAGGTAGAATAGAGATTCATGTGGCCACAGGTCCAGTCCTTTGCCAGGAAGATGTTATGATATACAGTCATAGTCTAGCAGCCCGGGCGTGTGTAACCCTATGTGCATATGCCATTGCCCATACATGAGTGGTTCCAGTAGAACCCTATGCATCATCTCACAGATGTGAGAAATGGGGGCTGTGAATAACTCCAGATCAATTGCCAGAAAGCGGCCAAGCCTGGCTCAGACCCAGAGTGGTCTCTGATATCTGCTTTGCCTCATCACGCAATTGCCCCAGGTTCCTTGCTACCACTTCCCAGTGGAAGCCCAAGGAATGCAGAAACACAAAGTCCAAAGCAAAAAACAAAACCAACCAACCAACCAACCAACCAAACAAACAAACAAACAAATAAAAACCCTGTTTGATTTCAAGGCGTACAATGAGGTGTTGACACAATGGGAGGAGAGCTTTCCATTGGTGTAGTGTTTTGATTGGAGCCAGCTTCCATTCCCTGAGCGCAAGCTTGCCAAGAGTGCTGGGGGTCGGGGAAAATCAGGCTGGGGTTTAAAACTCACCACAGCAAGGCCAGCAGGGCAGAGATGATAGGAATCAAACAGAAGAAAAAATGGGTGGGGTGGGGGTGGGGCACAAAGGAGGAAAAAGTAGTTGAGGCGACTTTTAAAGGTATCAAACAGACTGTTCTTGTGCGTTATGACTCACACTATTCATTGTGCTTGGTGCATTTTAGGTACACGGGAAGCTATAACTACGGGAGCTATGGCAACCAGCATCCTCACCCACTGCAGAACCAGTATCCAGCCCTGCCTCATGACACAGCCATCTCTGGGCCACTCCACTACTCCCCGTACCACAGGAGCTCTGCCCAGGTGAGTGTGCATGTGTTGGGAGGTCTTGCTTGCTCAGAGTGGTTGGCACCCAGTTATGCCAACTAACCACCGTTACTAAATCCGCTGTGTATGCACCTGTCAGTCCCCAAAGACAGCCCAGCTCACTGCCCTTGAGTAAATGGCCTACCTTGGGTGCTTGTGATCACATGTCACCTTTCCTTACCCATCCAAGCTGCATCACTGTTCTCTTAAGTTTCTGACTCCCTTCGACCTCTCTGAAGCCAGGATCCAGCTAGCTGTGTTTCTGTTGGTCCTTTCTAGGTGGCCACTTCACATGGGGCCTCTGTCTCCTTTCCCATCACTCCCCTCTTGGCATCTGTTAGGATCTCTACATCATGCCATCTGGTCTCTTGGTTTTCCAGGTGGGTGTAGGTCTAGCCCACACAGAATCTTAGCCAGAAGCATCTTAAAATGGACCTTCTCTTGATTACTCTTACCCTAGCAAACTGAGCTCTCTATGGCCAGCCTGAGGTAAGGGATGTTGAGAAAAAAAAAAAAACCTAGATTATCACTGTAGGGCACTCTAGTTAGTTATCTCAGACACCCTCCTGTGTGTTGTCCCAAGCAGGACTGATCACCAACTATATTCAATTGCTTGGTCTTATTTTGTTGAGACAGGGTCTCTCTCTACATAGTCCTAGTTACCATGGAACTCACTATGTAGACCAGGCTGCCCTTGAACACACAGAGATCCACCTCCCTCTGCCTCCTGAGCACTGAGATTGAAAGGGTATGCCACCACACCCATACTCAGTCCTGTATTCTAAACTGTCTTCGTCATCCTGGCTTGCCTACCTTAGGCCTTCGTGATGACCTCTGTCTCTAAAGCTTTCCCTCTCTGCAGCTGGAAAGGTCTTTTGGAAAGAAAGAAAAACAAAACTGTGACTCTGGCACTGTATTATTGTCGGTAGGGTCACTTCCTCAGTTTCCTTCTCCATAGTCGGTTCCTTCCTGCCCAGCCCACCCCCTCTCCTCTTTTGGAGCTGTGGCAGATGCTCACAGTTGTCCTGTGTCCACTGCATGGAGCAACATCCTTGTCTGCAGGGACTGCTCCCCAAGCTGGGACTTCTTCCTGCTTATCATCCGGACAACATCTTATGGGCTTGTGAGTTTCTGAAGAGCACCCCCTTCCTTCCTCCAGGCCCTAACCAAGTGCCTGCCACACTGAGCTTTCTCTTTCTGTCACACTGCCTACACCTTGTCAACCAGTGGCATTCTGGGGACCTTAGACACTCTCCTATGTGCTGTCCCAAGCAGGACTGAACTTTTTCTCTCTAACTCTGCAGGAGCCCTCAAGCTCCTTCAAGACAGCGATAAAGTCTATACTCCCAGGCCACAGTACACAAAACCCTTAATAAAAGTCAGTTTCTTTCTTCCAAATGCTGCAGTATGCCAGGCTCTGTACAGAGCAGTTAGCATACACTCTGGATAGCCATAGTAGAACAGGAAACGAGACACAGGGTAACGTGTGGAGATTAGAACCCAGGAGGTGTGACTACTTTTGGGCTCCTGAGCACCACCTTAGTCTACTATCTCTCAGATGTGGCTCTTGCTGTGAGTTTTTGGGGGTGGGGAAGGAAGTAGCTATAGGCAGGACCAATGGTTGGGGAAGGCTAAGCCTAGTTTGTCTGCTCAGAAGGTTGAGAAGCCACCGGTGGTTTTTGTGTCAAAGAGAGCTCTCAGAACACCCATAGAACAAGCACAAAAGGGGGCTGGGGTGGGCAGGGCCCTCAGAGGGCAAGGGCAGGAGGGAGCTGTATGGAGGCCACATTGCATCAGCCAGCAGTACACAGGTTTGCCTCCAAGGGATACTAAAGAGAATGTATCCATACTGCAAAGGCACTCAGGGTAAGCAGGCCTCTGTTTTGGTTTCCATCCCAGTACCAAGAGGAGCTCTAGTTTAATCCCAAGACAAGCTAAGGAGTTGATTCTTCTAAGTCATCACCTGGGGCATTCATTAGAGAACTCTTGACTGCGTCACAGAGATGCCAGCTCCTTAGGTGCCACCTCTCCTGGGAGCAGAGTCTGTGCTTCTCTGTGTGACTCCCCAGAATAACCAAGTTGCTGCCTGGGTCACACTCAGCCTAATCTAGGCACTCACTCATTCATTGGCTCACTCCTTCCTTCCTCAAGTGGCTGCTGGACACCTGCTTCACACAAGCATAGCTAGAGCTTCCAGGAGTGCAGGGCAGTAGACAGAAGTGCCACGCACTGTGAGCTTACACTCCAGCTGGAGACTACATCACTGAGACACTGCTTTTGGGCTTATCATCTTTCCTTCTTTACTGCTTCATGCCCTAGGAAATTTCAGGAGCCCCTTTTGGGGGGTGATATTTTTAAAACCATCACCATAAAAAGAAGCCAAGTTCCCTTCAAAGCCCACATCGACCCTGGTGATTAAAGATAAGACTGCTGTGTCCGCTTTGGAAGCCACAATGGTACTCAATTGGAGTCTTTATCACTCAATAGCTGGTCTTACAGAAGAGGCCAAGAACTAAGTTATAGTCAACAGAAAAGCCCTGTATATCTTTTTTCCATGTATTTATTCATTCACATTACATCCTGATTGCTGCTCTCCACTCCTCTTGACCCCCCCTCACACAGTCCCTCCCTCTCTCTCCCCTCCCTTTCTCCTCTGAGGCCCCTCCTGGTATCCCCCCACCCTGGCATAGCAAGTCTCTGCAGGACTAGAAAGCCATGTATATCTAGATGAGGCCCAAGCCAGCTTCTCCATCATCTTGCCTTGTGGCTCTCAGACAAGGAAGGGCATTTGACACTCTACCATCCCCAGCACACACACACAGACACACACGCATGCACGCACGCGCACACACACACACACACACACACAGACACACTCACACACACACACACACACACACCTTGTGGTTCATGGTGTCATTAGTCTCTCTTTGTAAAGTGTGATAAAGTTAATTACATTGTATCTGTGCCCATATTGGGTGAGGTCAGTATTGAAAATGCCCCTCATCTAGGGAAGGTCCTGTTCAAAGATAAAGCAGCCTTTGTTTCATTTTCCATTAACATTTAAGGCACTTGCACCTTTAGACAATTTGAAATAGATGGTCCCATTCGTTCCCATAACAACCTCAGGAAGACAGCGCTTTTCTCCAGTTCTTCAAGAAGAAGCAGCAGCCACAGAGAGCTGTGTGACCCAGCCAGCAAAGCAGATGTGAGCACCAATTCTCCAACACCCAGCCCCATGCCAGTGACCTAAAACCACTGTGTTGGGGGGCAGCAAAGCCTAGAGATTGGCACGAATATTCTCAATAAATGCCCAGTTCAGAGAGAGAGAGAGAAAGGCACATCCTAGTTGATTTAAGGTTAAGTGTGCAAGGTTGAAACCCACTGTAGGCTTGAGTAGTCTTAGCCTCCCAGAGCAAAGGTCAAGCAGATCCAGTCCCTGGTGATGGAGTAGCACCCTTCACTAAAGTAGGTTCACGGGGATGAGGAAGAGGTAGGTCTAAACTGAAGAAAAATACAATGTTTTTAAAGAAATGTACTTGGTTTCCAGCACAAGAATACCTGTAAGTCAAGACTGCAAATTAACACCTGTTAAGCTGGCTTGAAGGAATCGTATGTCTAAGGACTGTGATAGTCATACACCTCCCAGTACTTACATGATCAAAACCATCTGAGTTCTCTTGTTCGTCACATAGGATATGCGCATGCTTGCTCACAGTACTCATGTCCGCAGCACATGATTGCTTATGGCCAACACAAAGGTAGACCTCCGGGATGACTTGAGTTCTCAGAACTGCTGAATTAGTGGAGAAGTATTTCCGTGCCCCAGTCAACCCCTGACCATGCAGTCCTCACCCTGTCAGCAACCATGAAAGTGAACAGGGTCCCACAAGTCATGTGATCAACCAACATCCATATGGCCAGGAATACACTCAGCTGAGACAACAAAGCAGCTCCTCTTCCTCATCTGAATGGCCCAAGAATGGCATGACCAATGTGATCTTCATCTGTTGGCTCCAACCAGCCCACAGCCAGGGCTGCCAACAAGTTTCCTTAGGCTATTTCATCTTGGGATGGTATCTTGGCCTAGCGTAAAGGAACACAGACACACTACATACACATATACCACCACCACACAACACATATAAACACACAACCTGACAAAACACACACACCACATTCATGTACACACACATACATACACACACCACATACACAAAACACATATCACACACTCATAAACTATACTCCACACATACAAACATACACATACCACACACAAAACACACATACACACAACACATACACACACATACCCAAAAAACACATACTCACACTAGACACACACACACACACACACAGGGCTGGGAAATCAGCCCAGTAAAGCCCTTGCTTTGTAAGCACAACAGCTTGCATTTGTTCTCTAGAACCCATGTAAAAGAAAGCTAGATGCAGTCAAATGTTCATAACCCCAGGGCTGGGGAGACAGAGACAGCAGATCCTGGGATTCAACGGCGCTGAGTAGTCAGTCTACTTTGTTAAGTTCTAGGCCAGTGAGAGACCCAGTCTCAAACAATAACAACAAACAACAACAATGACATAGTAAACAGCACTAAAGGAAAACACCTGAGGTGGTTCTCTGGTCTTAACATCCACAGGTACACACATGCAGACACGTGCCACATATGTATATGTGCATGTTCACATACCAGTAGCTGTAATGCTGCAAAGCGTTTGAGTGCAGAGCTAATTTCCCTGGGTTCAAATCCCAGGTATGCCCCTGATTAGTTCTGAGCTTCAATTTATTCATCTGGAAAATGAAATAAATTATAATACAATATATACAATATGCAGTAATACTTCACAGGATACAGTGGCCGTGGTCAGGTAATTAATACAGATTACAATAAAGTCAGGCTCATAGTTAATACTATTTGCATTTATCATTCCCCTTTGTCACCCAATTATAGTAATCTTCTATTTTATATAATTACACAATATGTGTTCTCCTCACAGAACTGGCTCTACAGGGGCAAGAGCCCCACAGTCCCAAGACCCACCACAGAACTGTCCCCTTAGTGATTTCCTAGGATGTACTTGTCAATGAAATGAATGACCTTGTTTGAGTACTAAGTACTTATGTGGTCTCAAGCAGGCCATTGCCACCACTCATAAACTAAACATTAGGACCCCCAGGCAGCCACTGAGGCTCTAGTGATGACTAATAGAACACAACCCTATGCCCCTCCAAAATGGAACACTAGTTATGGCTAACACATTTTGAAAACTTACAGCATGGATTCTAAGTAGCTTTGCATCAATTCATTTAATCTTGACCCTATACGCTCAGCAGATGTGGATTGTCTGACAAAGAGTTTTGGGGAGCCATGATCTCTTTTGGAGGAGGCCAAGAGGAAACCTGGTGGAGGCAGTGGCTGGCGGGCCTTTAGGACAGTGAGCGCTGCCTTTCATAGGAAAATGGTTTGTGCTCCTGCCTCAGTCACCTTTCACCCCCTGCCCAATCTCGGAGCATGTGGTGAGAGGCAGGGATAAAGGGCTCACTCTGCCCTTTCCATGTGCAGGAAAGTTGGCCCCTGGAGTGGGGAGTTGTGTCCCAAAATAGACTTTCTAATACAGTTCCAAAGAGGCCAAGAGTCAGTCACAACCAAGATGGACTTACAACATAACCTCTAGATAACTACTTTAAACACCACACACACACACACACACACACACACACACACACACACACACAT